ATTTTCCTTCTAAGTATTTGATTGAGAAATTATATTCACTGAGTTTTATACGCCAACGTTGTAATTTCATGTTGGGTTACTTAATGTTTTTTAGCCAAACGAGTGGCTTGTGATCGCTTAAAATGTCAAGTGGTATGCCATATAAATATGGGCGAAAATATTTTACTGCCCACACTATTGCTAAAAGCTCTTTTTCTATTATACTGTAATTTTGTTCGTGATCGTTAAACGTTCTACTTGAAAAACTAATTGGCTTGTTATCTTGTGACAACACAGCGCCTATTGCAAAAATACTTGCGTCGGTTGTTACCTGAAACTTTTAATTAAAGTCTGGACGTATTAAGATTGGGTCGTTTATAATTAATTTATTATATTCAACATTTTAATGTCCATTTTTTCCGCTTTCTTTAGGTAAAGAGTCATGGGTTTTGCAATTTTTGGAAAATCTGGAATGAACTGTCGATAATAACCACATAAACCTAGAAATGATTTAATTTTCTTTGATGTTTTTGACAAAGGAAATTTTTATTATACCCTTGCAGAGGGTATTATAATTTTGTCGTGAAATGTGTAACGCATAGAAGGAGATATCTCCGACCCCATAAAGTATATATATTCTTGATCAGTATCAACAGCCGAGTTGATATAGCCATGTCCGTCTGTCCGTCTGTCTGTTTCTATTCGAACTAGTCTCTCAGTTTTAAAGCTACCTTTATGAAACTTTGCAGAATTCCCTCTTTCTGTTGCACGCAGCTCATATGTCAAAACCAGCTGGATCGGACCACTATATCATATAGTGCCATAGGAACGATCGGTCGAAAAGTAGGTTCTTGTATGAAACATTTTTGTTTATAAAGTTATCTTGACTAATCTTGGTATTTATTAGTTTTACTACGCTCCCCATATATATGCAAAATCCTATTAAGATCGGACAACTATATCATATAGCTGCCATAGGAAAGATCGGTCGAAAATTAAGTTTTTGTATGGAAAATTTTTTTCAAGATATCTTGACCAAACTCGGTATTTATTAGTTTTACTACGCTCCCCATATATATGCAAAATCCTATTAAGATCGGACAACTATATCATACAGCTGCCATAGGAAAGATCGGTCGAAAATTAAGTTTTTGTAAGGAAAATTTTTATGTTTTTCAAGATATCTTGACCAAACTCGGTATTTATTAGTTTTACTACTCTCCCCATATATATGCAAAATCCTATTAAGATCGGACAATTATATCATATAGCTGCCATAGGAACGATCGGTCGAAAATTAAGTTGTTGTATGGAAACCTGTTTTGTTTTTCAAGATATCTTATCATACTCGGCATTTATTAGTTTTACTATGCACTTATGCCTTACTCCACTTATGCAAAATCTTATTCACACCAGGCTACTATATCATATAGCTGCCATAGGAACGATCGGTCGAAAATTAAGTTGTTGTATGGAAACCGGTTTTGTTTTTCAAGATATCTTAACCATACTCGGCATTAACTATTTTCCCTGTGCTCCTAGATACGGGCAAAGCACTATGAGCATTTTTAAAAGGTTGGGTCTGCAAGGGTATTAAATCTTCGGTGTGCCGAAGATAGCACTTCTTTCTCGTATTGCTTTTACTTTCAGTTTGTTTGGCTGTATGCCATCTAGACTTATAATGTGACCTAAAAATTCTGTTTCCTTTTTAAAAATTCGCACTTATCTAATTGAAGTTTCAAATTTGCCTGTCCTAATTTTTGAAAAACTTTATTTATTGAATTGAAATGTTCATCAAGAGATGTGGAGAAGACAATAACGTCGTCCAAATAAACAAGACAATGCTTGTTAATTAAATCACGAAGAACATGATTCATGCACCTTTGGAATGTTGGTAGTGCATTTTGTGTATGCTGTTTTATTAACTGATTTCTTGTCCATCTCAATCTGATGGAAACCTTTTGCTAAATCTATTGTTGTAATGTATGAGCATCTTCCTAATTTTCCCAAAATCTCTTCCATGTTTAGAATGGGAAATTTATCATTGATTGTAATGCCGTTCAATCCTCTGTAATCGACCATTAATATAAATTTTGCCTTTCCTGAGGCGTCTGCCTCTTTCTGTCCGTACTATCCATGAGGGACTACAATAAGGCGGCTGGCTATGCCGAATAATACCTTGGAATAACATATCTTTAATTTGCTTTTCGACTTCTTGTTCGAAAGCGAAAGGGTAACCGTATGATTTCTTGAAAATTGGATTTTCATTATGTGTATTAATTTCGTGCTTAACAATGCTCGTCACCTTCTCGATATTGGATGTCACTGAAATTTTTCAGTAATTTTAATAGTTTTGTTTTTATATCCTGAACCCATTGAAAATGGGTAAAAAGGGTATAATGTATTTGTGCAAATGTATGTAACAGGCAGAAGGAAGCATCTCCGACCCCATAAAGTATATATATTCTTGATCAGCATCAACAGCCGAGTCGATTTAGCCATGTCCGTTCGTCCGTCCGTCCGTATGTCCGTATGTATGAACGCAAGGATCTCAGAACCTATAAGAGATAGAGACTTGAAATTTTAGCTGTAGCTCCATGCGCAGTAGGAGTTTGTTTCCGATAATCGATAACTTGCCCCGTTTCCAAGTAATCGATAAAAATCGATATCGAAATCTTTCATATCTTTCATTTTGTACCTATGGCCACCTCCCCGCTACCACCGCATAGCCATAAATCAAGTTATTAATTCAACTTGAATTGCCGATCAATTTAAGCCACAAGTTATAAGCAATTGACTTTTTGAGAATACATAAATATTCTATGGCATAATAAGATGGACTGTCGAAAATTTCATTAAGATCGGTTAAGAAACAGAAGTTATGTGCGCACGTGTTAGCAGCAGCAAGCGCAAATTCCAAGAATTTCTGTGTGCATGTTCACACACACATTCATGCACGTCTGCTTTGAATTCTATCAACAGCATTGCAATTGCGATTGTATTGTTTTCTGGGCAGCTATTTTAATTGGTTTTCTTCTCAGTGCGTCCCAATTGTTGGTGTGGCTCTTGAGTAGAGGCGGCGGCAAGTGGTGCAGTATGTAGCGAGTTCGAGCCCTATGGTGGTAACTTTTTTTTTTTTTGGCTGGTGTGGCTGCTGAGTATAGGAGGCATCAAAGCAACTTTGTTTTTTTTAATTTATCTTTATTGTTACTAAAGCAATCGAGCGCGTAGCGCGATCTGCATTTAGTGTTGGAGTAAGAGGGTTCAGGGTATCCCCTAGTCGGGAGCTCCCGACTAGAACCTCTTACTTGTTTATTATTGTTGTTATAATAGTTTCCCTCATAATAGCCCTCCATTTGTGTTACTTGTTTTAATTTTGCAATAGTGGATATGTCGTATTTTGCGAGTGACATAAAGAGTCTATATGGTAGTTTTTTATGTATTAAGTTTTTTACAGTGTTATTCATAGCGTTTGTATGCAATCTGGAATTATCTAAATTACCTTCTAATTCTAACTTGTCAGTTGTAATTATTATCTTAGCATCTACTTCACTACAAAATTTACGTAAATTACCTTGATAATTGGTATTATATAGTCTTCGCAGTAGTTCTTCCACGGGTGTTTGCGTCTTGTATTCGGAGATAGACTCAGGCTTCCCTGAGTTGGGACCAGTTGTTGATTTGCAGCATTCTAGGTACTTTCTGGGCATCTCCGGATATCTGGAGATCAATCACCCCAAATATGCTGCATTGTTGTCGTTCATTATGAGTAAAGTACAGTTGAAGCAGGTAATCCATCCTTTTGATAAATGGACCAAGGGTTATAGGATCTCCCTCAAAGGCTGACACGTTCCGTATTTGTTGAAGTAATTGGTTTAAATTTTGGTTGATTAATTTATTCATTGCTGCAAGTTCAGTAACATGAGAGCCTTCTGATTGCTCCATTTTTTTAATACTTTTAGGTATTTAGTTTATGTGTCACGAAATTCACTTTGTGTTGCAACGACCGAATTGGATTTATACGTTGCTTGAATTGTTTTGACACGTCAAGTTCTTTTGCCGATAGCGAATTTTGGAGTTGAAATATATTCGATTTTGTTGTAATACTGTGCACAATTACCAGTTGTATGGATAAGCCTCTCTTTAATTGATCGTATCACTCACGAACTTTAATTTATTTCGTTTCACAAAATATTGCGCTATCCTACCGGCTTTATTTTACGAGAGTGAATTTGTATCAGTTTATTATGTTAAATATCTAGATTAAGACTGGCGAACAAAAATTGGCTTACGCTATATTTAAAGCTAAATAATAATTGGAGTACGTGACTTTTTGCAAAGGGACAGTAGCTGCCTCTTGATTATGCTAGCGCCTTTCTGTTGGTCAGTTTTTGTTTATAAATGATTGTTGACAATATGTGAGCTTGGCTGCAGAAGGCATTCTGTTCTCATGATTTTTTGCTGCTGTTAGCATTATTCGAATTCGGCTGCAGAAGGCACACTATTGTTATGATTATGCAATTTGTAAACACACAGTGGGTTATACCATGCAATGCAGCTTATGAATAACAGTGTTTCAAAATTCTGTTGTTGTGAATATTTCACTATATATATCAACTATCTTTCATTTTATAGCTATCGCCACCTCCCCGCTACCACCTAAAAGCTATAAATCATGTTAGTAAACCAACTTGTATTGCCTACCTAATTAAGCCACAATTTAAATGCAATTGTCATTTTAAGAATACACGAATATTTAATAGTACAATAAGATCTACTACTGAAAATTTCATCAAGATCGGTTAATAAACACGAGTTGCGAGTACGAACCCTGCCAAGGGAACTTTTTTTTTTTAATTTAATGAGAGCTGCATTTGGTGTTTGAATAAGAGGGTTCAGGGTATCCCCGAGTCGGGAGCTCCCGACTAGAACCTCTTACTTGCTTTCTTTTAAAATAGTTGTTATGTCAAACCAATTAATTTCAATTGATTTTAGCAAATAATAAACTGTGTTCCAGCGAGTGGGGTAAAAGCTTTTTATGGAGAATCCTAAAGATGAATTCATTCCAGACTTTTTAAAATATTTTGTCAGCTTGCTTCAAGTCGTGATGATAATCCCCATCTCAGGAACAGCATCGATAGCTTTTTCAAGACCATTGTTCAGTGGATGGTTGACGCAATAAATTTTCTCGGAATCGAGAAGGCTTTAATCATATTAGACCCACGATCGGTTACAATTATGGGATTATCCACTTCAAGGTCACATCCGAAGCCTTTCAATATCTCCTCTATTTTTGCACGAATATTTGAACCTTGATATAGGAAATAAAATTTACATCAATTTGTCCACTTGTAGATTAAATTCACACACCTGTGCACGACATTTCTTTCATTGTCTTCATGGCCATTAAACGCTTAAGAAGAACTCCCTTCTTTATGTAGTGCAGGACAGGACAAATACGATGATTTCAAACAATTATCAGTCCATATGTCACTGGTGATGGCATATCCAAAGGCTTTATATTTTTCTATTTCGATTTTTATTGGGCAAAAGTGTGACTCATAAATCATTGTTATATTTCGAGATATTGTTGTTGGATGTGGTAACAATTTATTAACGTCTACATTAGAACCAAACGTTGCTCCAACCTTAATTAAAAATGATGCAAACTTCTTAAGGTCGGAGTCGTCTATAATTTTTAATGGACGACAGTTCTGAACAACCCATCCGGTAACAACAGCTACTCCCTCCTGTTTCCTTGCTGAATTTACATCAATAGGTGAAGCTTTGCAAAATTTACTGCCATTTACTAAATAACATTTATGCTTGACCAGGTTACATGTGCTTCCTGTAAACTTAAAAACAGAAAAACACATCTTACAGGCAACAAGTTCAGCCAATTCCTCTCCATTTTCGTTTTTTTATTTCTGAGAAAAATTGCCACACTTCGCATCGGCCTTTCTTCTCAGTAAGGGTATACATTCCAATATGGAGCTTCTCCTTTATATCCTCTCCGATTTTCTCCTTTGCACCCATTGCGCTTTTTGAAACCTATATACATACATTGTATGTCAAGCAAATTAAATGAAATCTGAAAAAAAACACACAAGAAACACTTACTGACATTTCACAAATACACAGTTATTAATCTAAGCTCGAACAAAACAAACAAAACAAGCTATCAAACAACATACATTTATTATATGTATATGTATTTAAAAACAAACGACCATTTCTCCGTCCATTTCTTTTGACTGCTTGCGTCTGTTGTATTGAACGAAATGAAGGCACACAAAAACTCGAGTAATTCGAGTTTCTTCGGCTGTGCCAAATTTTTCATTCCGCTTTACGCTTTATTTATTCTCACTCATTTCGCTGATTGCTGTCTGGTATAAGACACAACACGCACTCACATTGCCACTCATGCGTTTCATTGTATGTCTCGCACTCACTCAATTCAATTCAATTCGAGTCCATTCAATTTAACGTATGTTGTGAGTGAAGCCATGCAGCTCTCTAGTTCGAACTCGTAACTGACCGCGTAAATTTCCGCCGCGTCTTCTCAACAGACACCCCAATAATTAAATCTTAATGAGAAGCAAGTAGGAGGTTCTAGTCGGGAGCTCCCGACTAGGAGATACCCTGAACCCTCTTATTCCAACACCAAATGCAGCTCGCGCTACGCTCTCGTTTGCTTTAGTAGTAATGAAGATAAATTAATACAAACAAACAAAATGCCCTTGGCAGGGTTCGAACTCGCAACTGACCACATTACTGGATGCTGCCTCTACTCAACAGCCACACCAGCCAAAAAAAAAATTGTTTCCTCGGTAGGGTTCGAACCCGATACAAACTGCACTACATGCCGCCGCCTCTACCTAACAGCCACTCCAATAATTGAGTCTTAATGAGAAAAAAACGAATTTAAATAGCAGCCCAGAAAACAATACAATCGCAATTGCAATGCTTTTGATAGAACTCAAAGATGACGCGCATGAATGTGTGTGTGTACAAGTATACATAAATTCTTGTAATTTGCGCTAGCTGCTGCTAACACGTGCGCACATAACTTGTGTGTTTCTTAACCGATCTTAATGAAATTTTCGACAGTACATCTTATTGTGCCATCCAATATTTGTGTATTCTCAAAAAGTCAATTGCATTTAAAGTGCGGCTTAAGCTGGTAAGCGATACAAGTTGGATTATTAACTTGATTTAGAGCTTTGCGGTGATAGCGGGGAGTTGGCGATAGGTATAAAATGAAAGAAACTTGATATATTTATATATTTTTTTAGAAGCTACTTGTCAAATTTGGTGACTAGCACTTATTATTTACCAAAATTGCTCAAAAGACAGGAGTACGATATCGATTTTTATCGATTGCTTGGAAACGAGGCAAGTTATCGAATATCGGAAACAAAACGATCTGCGCGGGCACTAGGAGGACCTACAGCTAAAATTTCAAGTCTCTCGCTCTTATAGGTTCTGAGATCCTTGCGTTCATACATACGGACGGACGGACAGACAGACGGACATGGCTAGATCGACTCGGCTGTTGATGCTGATCAAGAATATATTCACTTTTTGGGGTCGGAGAAGCTTCCTTCATGCATGCTTCTTATAAATGAGCCAAATCTTATCATGATCGCATTTCGATATTTAAAAGGTCTATGGGGAGAGTCGCTAGAAAAATGTTGTATGCCAAAATAGTCTGTTTTCCTATATATTTTCAAGAAAGTCAGCACTCTCTATTCTCACCTTACTGCAAGGCCGTGAGAAAAATGGTAACAAGGGTATAAAACATTCGGCATGCCGAAGGTAACATATTAATATTTAGGGAATCCTTTAGTCGGGCACAACCGAATAGAGAATGCAACTTGTTAAGAGATGATCATAACATGTTTGTCTTCCTTTCGATTATGACAATAATAATTTAAAGCACCATGTGCAGGTAAGTTAAAGGTTATTGCACCGGGAAAAACCTAGTACCGCATTCTTTTCCTCTAAGTCATTTGGTTCCGAGCAAAGGATAAACGAGAATCCTTACGTAGGATTTTTAGCAGTGATTTTTCTTTAATTTTAATCTTTTTAGTTTGTAAGGTCTAGGTAAAATTCGTCAATCAACGACAATATTGGATTTTAATTCCAAATTGGAACGATTCTCGGAATTTGGGAATTTGCAGCTTCAACTATTCGGAGTTCATTATTAGGCACAAGTGAGCTTCTTGGTGTGCCCTTCATATTGTTTTTATTTTTATACCTTGTTTGTGCAAATGTATGTAACAGGCACTTGCAATTGACTTTTTGATAATACACGAATATTCTATAGTACAATAAGATGTAGAAAATGTAATCAAGATCGGTTAAGAAACACAGAAGTTATTAAATAAAGCATGTTATTGCTGGACTCGAGTTTGGGGCAGCAAGCGCAAATTCCAAGAATTTCTGTATACATGTACACACACACATTCATACGCGTCTTCTTTGAATTCTATCAACAGCATTGCAATTGCGATTGTATTGTTTTCTGTGCTGCTATTTTAATTCATTTTTTTCTCATTAAGACTGAATTCTTTATGTGGCTGTTGAGTATAGACGGCGGCAAGTAATGAGGTCTGTCACGAGTTCAAAACCTATCGAGGAACAAGTTTATTTTTTTTAAATGTATTTCTATTACTGCTGAAGTAAACGAGCGCGTAGCACGAGCTGAATTTGATGTTGGAATAAAAGGGTTCAGGGTATCCCCTAGTCGGGCGCTCCCGACTAGAGCCTCTTAATTGTTTTACCCTGAACCCATTGAAAATAGGCAAAAATGGTATAATTTTTTGTGCAAATGTATGTAACAGGCAGAAGGAAGCATCTCCGACCCCATAATTAATATTTATATTTGTGATCAGCATCAATAGCCGAATCGATCTAGCCATGTTCGGCCGTCCGTCCGTCCATCTGTCCATCCGTCCGTATGTATGAACGCAAGGATCTCAAAACCTATAAGAGCTAGAGACTTGAAAATTTAACTGTAGGTCCTCCTCCGCAGCAAGAGTTTGTTTCCGATAATCGATAACTTACTCCGTTTCCAAGTAATCGATGAAAAGCGATATCGAAATCTTGTTTTTTGAGCAAATTGGGTAAATAATAAGAGCTAGAGTCACTAAAATTGATATATTGCTTCTAGAATAGTATATATACATATATATATCAAGTATTTTCATTTTATTGATACCGCCATCTCCCCGTTACCACCACAAAGCTATACATCAAGTTAATAAACCAACTTGTATTGCCCACCAATTTAAGCCACAATTTAAATGCAATTGACTTTTTGAAAAAACACAAATATTCTATGGCACAATAAGATGTACTGTCAAAAATTTCATTAAGGTCGTTTAAGAAACACAAAAGTTATGTGTATTGGCTGCCCACGTGTCAGCGACAGCTCGTGCAAATTCAAAAAAATTCTGAATACATGTACACATTCATGCGCGTCTTCTTTGAATTCTATCAACAGCATTGCAATTGAGCTTGTATTGTTTTCTGTGCTGCTATTTTAATCCTTTTTTTTCTTACTGAGACTCAATTCTTGCTGTGGCTGTTGAGTAGGGGTGGTGGCGAGAAGTGTGGTCTGTCGCGAGTTCGAGTCCAGTTAAGGAATACATTTGAGCTACCCACCAACTTAAACTACATTTTAAAATCAACTGTCTTTTTATTAATATACGAATATTCTGTAGCAAAATAAGCTCTACTGAAAATTTCATCAAGATCGGTTAAAAAACAGAATTAAAACGTGTTTTGGATGGCCTCGTGTTTGCGTCAGCTAGGGAAAATTGCAATAATTTCTATATACATGTACACACATACATTATGTTCTTATACAAACAATTTTTTCGGTTTATCAAGATATCTTGACCAAACTCGGCATTGATTAGTTTTACTATGCTCCTCGTATATATGCAAAATCCTAACAACATCGGACCACTACATCATATAGCTGCCATCGGAAAATCGGTAGAAAATAAAGTTGTTGTATGGAAAACTTGTTTGTTTCCTTAGATATCTCAACCAAGCACGCCATTTATATGTCTCACTATGCTTCCTACTAGCTGCAATAGGAACGCTCTGTCGAAAAGTAGGATCTTATATGAACAAATTTTTTGTTTATCACGATATCTTGACCAAACTCGGAATTTATTAGTTTTACTATGCTCTCCATATATATGCAAAATCCTAAAAACATTGGACCACTATGTCATATAGCTACCATAGGAGCAATAGGTCAAAAATCAAGTTGTTTTATGGAAAACTTTTTTGTTTCTCAAGATATCTTGACCAAACTCGCCATTTAAAAGTTTCAACCGCTTTCCTATATATATGCAAAATCTTATTTATCTTATTTCCATAGGAACGATCGGTATAAAATTAAGTTGTATGAAAAACTTTTTCAAGATATCTTAACCATACTCGGCATTTACTATTTTCCCTGTGCTTCTTAGATACAGGCACTATGAAAAGGTTGGGTCTGCAAGGGTATGAAAACTTCGGCGTACCGAAGATAACCTTTCTCATTTTTTATATATATTTAAAGTATTTTAAAATTAAAAACATCAGCTTCAGCACGTGGCATTTTATTCAGAATTCAGAAATCACATATGTATGTCCTAATCAAGTGCATATAAATCTGTATCTCATTCGCAATATGGCTAAAGAGAAATTGAAAAATAAATGAAACTTTTAAAACAATTAGTTATTGAGGTTATTTAAAATGTCTTTGTTAGAGAAGATCAAAGCTGTCGAGAATGGGATCAAACGACTAAGGAAAAAATTAAATGATGCTTTTAAAAAAGGTTGTCCCTATTCATGCATGCTGTGTTATTAAATTGCTGGCTTTTTAAATAATAATGGTCGTATCGTCGTCTGATAGTTTGGGTATCCGCCCTGTTTGTTTCTCGCAATTTTCCATATTTTTAGAATCGGTGTATAATTCTCTGAATATGTGTATAATTTAGCCCCTCGTACTTATGTACATGCTTTTATACTGTTTGTATGTATATGCTTTTATATTGCCTCTTTCTTTAAAAAAAATCCCTCCCGCTTGGCATTTAAAAAAAAACTTTTCAAAATATTTTTAGTAAAGACCGAGAATAACCACATTTTATAGAAAGTTTTAAACGCTTGTCGAATAGTTTCGTTACGCTTGGAACTATCAACAAAGTTTGATAATATTTTAGCTGACAAGTACACATTTTTATACACGTTACATAAATTTGACTTACCTGATACCAGAAAGCAAATTAATAATGTTAAATAGCCAAACGCTTGTTACAAACATTAGAATAAATAAAAGGCCACAACTTATAAAAATTCCGGTTAGTAAAACTGTACGTCGTCCAATAGCGTCGCTGACATATCCCCATATATAGGTTGAGAGAAAAACCCCTATAAATAGAAATATACCGTATATAAAATCTTACAACTGTGCAAAGCTTAACATCCGATAGTTGTATTAGCCAAATTTCAAAATAACTATAAATATACTATCTTATACGATCCGGTTCTATAGAGTTAGGTAAATCTATTTACAATTAACCAAATCTATATTTTATTTTATAAAGGCGCAAGTAATGGTCGATAAAATTTTGCAGCAATTGCTTGTGTATTTGTATACTTTACAAGCACATACATTCGAAATTTCGTGTTATTTGCTAATCAAACGGGGACTTGAAAATTCATTCAAAACAGCTACTAGAAACTTGATTTTTAAACTTTTTGAAGCTGCTTTCCAACGCAAATTAGCTCACGACTTACCAGCTACACATGCCGCCATCATGACGCCCTTTTCGGCTTCTGTTGTTTTGAACTCGCAGTGGGATGCGAGAACAATAATACTCATTGATTGTTGAGCAGCCACAGAAGTAATTGTTAAAAGGCCACTCATTAGAAGTAGTACCCACTGGGTCTTACCGTAACCTATATCAATAGATAGGAGTTGTTTAAATACCCTTTTTCGCTATACAAGAAATATCTGGTTGGCTTACCTATTTTCTCTAAAACTTCATCATATTCCAAGGAATTCGGAGCAATGGTATGACCATTAGAGTACTGCATATTTACGTTCCAAGTGCGAACATTCAACTGATAAGTATACAAAAACAGCCACACCTTATAAGTGTTTCATACTAGTGCATCACATTCAAGATTTAAAAAGTCCACTCAAGCCACAGCTGTGAGATTCAATATAAAATCACTCGCTTGAGTAAACCAAAACTCGTTTTGAGATTAAAACGTATGTGGCTTGGACATAATAATGTCGTTTTAAAGAGAGATACATTAATTGTAAGTGTTTTATTATTCAAAAATTTTAAATTCCCTTGTTGAGAAACATTGAACACGATGTACGCAGCAATATAGAAATACGATTGAATAAAATTCAAAATAATCCAAATTAGCTCAAAGAGGCATCGTAAAGGTGGAATATTCGTGATCTGTGTATACTTTACAAGAATACAAGATAAGGAAGATATGCTCAAATTGATACATGTTAAATAAATAAATTGGAGGTAATATTCACATGTTGAGTAATAAGACCAAGAGACGAAAATTAACTCTGAGTTTTTGTTACCGTTTTATCTTTAATACATTAGCTTGGTTCGCAAACGCAAAATCAAGTAAATTTACAATGGAAAGAAACAACAAATCAATTGCAAAACAAAACAAGTAAGAGGTTCTAGTCGGGAGCCCCCGACTAGGAAATACCCTGAACCCTTTTCTTCCAACACCAAATGCAGTTTGGGCTACGCGTTCGTTTGCTTTAGAAGTAATAAATAAAAATTAAAATAAAAAAAAAATTGTTCACCTGACATGGGTCGAACTCGCAACTAACCGCACCCCTTGCCGCCGCCACTACTCTCCAACCACACCAACTGAGTCCTAATGAGAAAAAAACAAATTAAAATAGCAGCACAGCAAGCAATACAATCGCAATTGCAATGATGTTCATAGAATTCAAAGAAGACGCGTATGAATGTGTGTGTGTACATGTATACAGAAATTCTTGGAATTTGCGCTTGCTGCCCCAAACTCGAGTCCAGCAATAACATGCTTTATTTAATAACTTCTGTGTTTCTTAACCGATCTTGATTAAATTTTCTACATCTTATTGTACTATAGAATATTCGTGCATTATCAAAAAGTCAATTGCATTTAAATTGTGGCTTATATTGGTGGGCATCATACATTGGTGTTTTAACTTGATTTATAGCTATAAGCACTAACCATACAATGCATAGACTTGTCAAATGTCAAAATAATCGGATACCGATAAATCGTCAACGACTGAGCCCCATGGGTGACCGCGACCATTTTAGTGTGCCCAGACAAAGTAAGACTGCTGAGAGTGGCAGCCGAACGCCGGCCTCGAAAGCCGAGCGTTCAGTATGAAGCCGCATCTCGCTCAGCGCATACCGTCGCTGCGGCTGATGCCTTTTCATAATATATGTATGTAAGTTTTTAATTCCTTACATCCCAAAAACATACATGTGTGTATGCATGTGCAGAGTGTGCCTCGCTCTCACTTATTGATTTGCGCACTTGTGTGCATCTCCTTTTCCCTGCATAGCTTCTCAAAAACCCCGAGATCTACAAACATACAAATGTTTGTGTTGTGTGGATGTGCGCACAAGTAGATCGCAGCGTTTGTCGCGAGCCAGAGATTTTTTCTTCAATTGTGTGCCCTTTGTGCCTGTGGCACACACATTCAAATGCTCTATCATGTATTTCTTCGTTTAGTCTGGCAAAATGAGAAGAATCGGATTTTTTTATATTTAATAAAAAACTTAAATGACCAAAATGATATATTTATACATTATATTTTAATTATTTTGTTTACTGTGGGGACCAATTTTGCTTAAAATTAAAAAAAAACTAAGTCGTATTTCTGCAAGGGTAATTCTTCGTCGGCTTGTCGAATAATTTAAGAAAAGACCAAACATTGAAAATATTCAATTTTTTCGTCTTGCTACTTGTGCACACGCACACTCTTTCGAGTAAGCAGTTGGGTGACATTATTAAAGGGTTTGGCCTGTTCATGTGCAAAACGCCTATTTTCCATGCATGGTGTAAGGGTAAGGGTACCTGAACGTTGGCATGTGTGCATAATAACTTTTTGGGCCTGCCAAGCACACACACTAACACACTTTTCTATATGGATGGAAGCATTTATGCGTTTGTGTGCGTGTTGGTTGCCTGCCTGCCTGCCCGATGCAAATTTGACCAAATTTGAAGTTTTTGGCATTTCTAAATTTCGAGCTCTACACACAGACACACACACACAAAAATGTGTGCGAATGAGCCGATCAAGGGTTTGTCGTGAGACAGAGATATTTTCATCAATGGGTGCGTAAATTTGGGCGACGGTGGGCTTGCGGCCGCGTAAGGCACAAATGTGTGAACAAATGGATGCAGACGCATGCTGCACATTCTTATCGTTAATTGCCTGCCATAAAACCATTAAACCCAAAATGTTTACATGTCGAAAAAATACATTAAAAGATCACTTGCATTTTTTCCATATCAAAGTGCAAACGAGCGGCAAGTGTGGTTCTCCTGTTTTCGTTGCCTGTTCACACATTTGTGCCTCACGCGGCCGCAAGCCCACCGTCGCCCAAATTTACGCACCCATTGATGAAAAAATCTCTGGCTCGCGACAAACGCCGCGATCTACTTGTGCGCACATCCACACAACACAAACATATGTATGTATGTTTGTAGATCTCGGGGTTTTTGAGAAGCTATGCAGGGAGAAGGAGATGCACACAAGTGCGCAAAGCAATAAGTGTGAGCGAGGGGCACTCTGCACACGCATATACACATATGTATGTATTTGGGCTGAAAAGATACATATATTACAAAACAGCATCAGCCGCAGCAACGTTGTGCGCTGAGCGGGATGCGGCTTCATACTGAACGTTCGGCTGTCGAGGCCGGCGTTCGGCTGCCACTCTCAGCAGTCTTACTTTGTCTGGGCACACTAAAATGGTCGCGGTCACCCATGGGGCTCAGTCGTTGACCATTTATCGGTATCCGATTATTTTGACATTTGACAAGTCTATGCATTGTATGGTTAGTGGCAGTACGCGTTTGTTTCTGATAATCGATAACTTAACCCGTTTCCAAAAAATGAAGATTAAATACCCTTGCAGACCGAACCTTTTCATAATGCTCATAATGCTTTGCTCGTTTCTAAGAAGCACAGTTAATGCCGAGTATGGTTAAGATATCTTGAAAAACAAAACGTTTTTCATACAAGAACCTCATGTTCGACTGATCGTTTCTATTTGGTCAAAATACCTTGAAAAACATAAAAGTTTTCCATACAACAACTTAATTTTCGACCGATCGTTCCTATGGCAGCTATATGATATACATGGTTGCCCGATATTAATACGATTAGGTATTTATATGGGGAGCATAGTATAATCACTAACTATACAATGCATTGTATAGTTAGTGCTGTAGGTCCTCCTACTGCCCGCGCAGATCGAGGTTTTTTCCGATACTCAATAACTTGCCCCGTTTCCAAGTAATCGATAAAAAGCGATTTCTGTTACTGTTTACTGTTTTTTAAGCAATTTTGATAGATAATAAGAGCTAGGGTCAGCAAACTTGACATGTAGCTTCTAGAATAGTATATGTACATATATCAAGTATCTTTCATTTGATAGCTGTCGCCACATCCCCGCTACCACCAAAAAGCTATAAATCATGTTAGTAAACCAACTTGTTTTGTCTATCTAATTAAGCCACAATTTAAATGCAATGGTCATTTTGAGCATACACGAATATTTTATAGTACAATAAGATCTACTACTCAAAATTTCATCAAGATCGGTTAAGAAACACGAAAGAAAATGTGTTTTGTCCTGCAAACACGTGCAGCAGCAAGAGCAAATTCCAAGAATTTCTGTATACATGTACACACACACATTCATGCGCGTCTGCTTTGAATTCTATCAACATCATTGCAATTGCAATTGTATTGTTTTCTGTGCTGCTATTTTAATTCGTTTTTTTTTATCATTAAGACTTAATTGTTGGTGTGGCTATTGAGTAGAGGCAGCGGAAAGTAGCGCGGTCAGTTACGAGCTCGAACCCTACCGAGAACTATATTTTTTTTTTGGCTGGTGTGGCTGTTGCGTAGAGGCGGCAGCAAGTAATGCGGTCAGTTGCGAGTTCAAACACTGCCACGGGAACATTTTTTTTTTTAATGTATCTTTATTTCTACCAAATCAAACGAGCGCGTAGCACTAGCTGCATTTGGATTTGTAATAAGAGGATTCAGGGTATCCCCTAGTCGGGAGCTCCCGACTAGAACCTCTTACTTGTTTTATTTAAAATTATAGTATTTATTATATTTCAGCCAAAATGGTTCATTATCGATTAAAATACAGAAAAAAAGTGAAGGCAGACGTGTTTTGTATTTAACTGTAATATCAATAATTAATAATTTAAAGTTTATGTATTTTTCAAATGAAGTTTTTTACACTTCTTCTAAATACATATAAGATACTAGCGGGTATAACCCGGCCTTGCCCATGGCACGTATATATGTATATAAAATCAATGTTTTCAAAAAGCTTTGAAAATTATTTTGAAACTGGTCGGACGGGAATCAAACAACTTTTATGCAAATCGGACAAAACTTAAAATTCACCAAAAAAATCTTTGAAATGCATTTCCCACCGAAGGAGTTTAGATTTTGCGAAAAATGTGAAACACGTTTCAACTGATTTTTCTTATAGATCTTTGGAAATAAATTTGAACACAAAACGTCATCTACCAAACCTTGAATTGGAACAAAGATCTTTGAAAATAAGTTTGGGGCCGATCGGATCGTACACAAAAAGTTACATACAAACGTTTTTCGCGATTTTTCCACACTTGCTGGTGGAATTTCCCGAAACCACGTCTTAACGTACACCTACATCACATAAGGTACCTGCAGTGAAAATTTCAGCTTCCTAGCTCTTACGGTTTCAGTCAGGACAAACAGTTTTATATACAGAGATGTATATTAAATAAATATAATATTTAATTCAATTTTAAGTTAAAGACATTTACACAGTACCTTAATTTAAATAAAAATAATTAATT